GAATTAAGAAAGAGGATACACCAATTTTCCCGTAACTGTAGCAATAAGTATCTTACTTGATCCAAAAAGCTAACAGCTAAGGAATACAGACAATGAAAATAATAATACTGTGGACCAGTCTTCTAATGCAAGAATGGGACTGTCATCAGTAAACATCTGAAATAACATAAAAAAATGACAAAAACAAAATGATACAAGCTGTAACCACTTCAGCGCTTATGTACTGGATTCTCACTTCCAACACAAGCTACAGGACACTGCTCTTTGTCTTGCATGGTTGGTTAGGAGTCATTCAAGTGTGAAATATTCTAAATTCTGGTTGTTAGAGGATTGAGATGTTTAAATCTCCCTATTTTAGAAAAGAAAAAAGAATGTGCCTTTCTGTAGTACAGAGAAAACATGATTATTCTAAGACAGAATAGAAATGACAGCATTCCCTGTACTTTATGCATTATGGAGCTGCAGCTAAAATTAGTCTCTTTGTAAAAATGTTCATCATCATTAATATGCATTTAGAAAACGTGATTATGAGGAAGCTAGAAGTTTACCCTCTACATTATCTTTAAAGGTGCTTTCTTCCTTGGTGGGCTCTAAACCAAATAAATAAATAATTTAAATAAATAAATTAATTAATTCACATAAAAATCTGTTTAGCATAAAGAGAATTTCTAAAATACCTTTATCATTATACCTGCTTGAGCTTTCTAGGACAAAATTTTGATACTAGCCATTGTGCCTTTCTGCTTACTACTGTGCGCAAGGTTATAAACACAAACTTGTAACAAAGACTATATGGTAATTGCTGTACTATCTTGTATGCCTCTTGGATACAGTTATTTTAGTATTACCTACTTTTCAACAGTCCCTATTAACAGTTTCTGTTAGAGATACATTAGAGTAATGCAACCCACACAGTTGTCCTGTCCTAACTTTAGCTCAGTGTTGCAGTAATGGGACATACACCTCAAAAGACACAAATATAATGGGTTAAGCTTTTCTACCCTGTGCAAAGTAGGCATTGGGGAGTATTATTACATCCTCAGAGAGGATGTTGTTGCACTTCCCCTGCTCCCCTCACCCCTGACTTACAGCTTGAAAGAGATATTGTTTTTGCTGACAACCCACCAGACTAGTCTCCTTCTGAAACACATGGTGGTTGCACTGTTGTAGTATCAGGGAACTCCTGATACTACCTGCAGGTAGTATTTCCACTACTATACAAGGTCACCTGTCATAGAGGAATTGGCTTGTGCGATTGGCAAACTCAAGGGACAAAACTGTCTCTCTTAAGCTCGGTTCATTTTTATTTATTTATTTATTTTTTCCCCTCAAGGTTTACTAATGACTAGAAGAAATAGAAATACTCTGTTCTAAAAAATGAAAGCTTACCTATTGGCTTAATCACATGACTTCAAAAACAAGATGCCTAGATGGGCCTAAATGGCCTTCCCTTAATCTGGCCTTTTTTCATATATGTGATGAAAGGAAGGATGTCAGTTGAGGCCAAAAAAAAAAAAAAAAAAAAATCCATTTAAATTCCATCACATTCCAGTCCAGGATAGTGAGGCTCCAACTTGACTCATATCACGATTTAAAAAAAAATAAAATACTACAGTATATAATGTTACTTATTATAGCTGACAGTGAGTTCTATTAGACTGTAGAAAAGTCTCTGAAGGAAAATGAAAATAGCCTCCCAAGGGAGTGGAAGCCCCACACAGCATGATTTAAATGTGGCAGCTGGGTTGTGGGTGGAAATGGCAGTTTCCATTGAAAATCTGCTGCCAATATACCTCCTATGGCTAGATTTCATAGGGAAATGCGGCAGTTATCCCTCTCTGAGGTTCAGCTGCTCAGTTTTAAAGATGCACAGACAGGAAAGGCAGCAAGGATCAGAGAGTGAAAAAAGAAAGGGGAAATATCTGGAAGTACAAATGTAACAGGAAGATGGCAGGAAAGAAAACTGATTTTTCAGTTTTAAGAGATAAAAGGCATGTTCTTAGAAAATATATACCACTCCAATTATTGCTTCTAATTTTTTGAATAGTTTGATGCATTTGATGTTTAAAGCTTATGTCTCATTGAAAGGCAGTTAGCAATTTGTTAGTCACTTTTAAAAATGGTCCCTATATAATTTGGGGCACAGTTCTATAATGGGAGTAGTTGTGGTAAAATTAAATGTCATCACACTTAACTTTAAAGCACTTGAGTTTAGATGACTAAGTTCCTTAGTGAATAAATTCTCCAATGAGAATATATAGATACATAAGCATGGGAGTCACTATAGCTAGCATGCAGACTGTGGTATATCTATGCTAAGAAATATAAAGCACCATGGAATGAATGTTTTTGAAATCACTTCTCTGTCTCTTGTTGACATATATCTACTTGCAATTCCTACTTAGACATCATTTTGAAAATGTGACTCATAATCTGGAAAGGCAAATTGCAATGCAGCTACACAAATCATGTCTGTAGTATGGATGCTACTTCATTGCTGTGTGTTTAGATACAGACAGTGCAGTACTGTTTTCTGCCTGTTTTTTTTTTTTTTTTTTTTTAACAACGCAGGTTGTTTTTATTTTATTTTATTTTATTTTATTTTATTTTATTTTATTTTATTTTATTTTATTTTATTTTATTATTTTATTTTATTATTTTATTTTATTTTATTTTATTGGAAGTCAAATAACCTGCTACAGCTCCAAATCTGGCCCCTCAAGAGGAGTCTTTAATCATTAAGCCAGCTTTCTTTCTCTTTCTCTGTTCTCCTAGAAAACCTTTTACTCCTTCCTGCCTGCAGAAGGGGCAGAAAGCAGCCTGATCCAAGCCAGTTGTCATCTGTTGTCCTTTTGGTAATGACTCTGGCTTGGGAATTAACATTGTGCTTCAGTCCACTCAGGTTGATAGAGAAACTGACAGAGTATCTTGTTTCCTGATGTAGCATTCTCATTGCTGGTCCAGCAAGGGGATGTGACTGCTATGCTATCTATAATCAGTGTTGTCCCCTGCTTGTTAGTGTGACCACACATAGCCTACTACCTCTACAGGATCAGAAGATGCTGCTGTAGATAGATGTAGTATGCATATCTCAAATGTTCTGGTATGTTAAAAGCACTGAGCAGCACAGCTCTCCTAAGCTGGCTGCACCTCTGGGCATACATACATGTAAATAGGTTTTCTATTACAAGCTTGATCAACTGCAGACTCAGAATTTATGAGGATCTTTCTCTTACATTTCAGTATATAAGGTCTATGTAAGTGGTGCTGTAGAAGCTTGTGGTTTTGATGTTGAATTGCTTTTTGTGAAATCAGATGCAGAAAATTAATAGTGGAAAACTATTTTTCTCTCATTCTGTAATTAACAGGTAAGTGTTCTAAATGGAAGGTGATGCAGGTGTCAGAAAATATTTTAGTGTCCATAATACCTAGAGGGTTTTGAAGGAAGGGATAAGCTTTCTTCTTGGAGATCTTCAAAAGCTACCTGGACATGGTCCTGAGTGACATACTCCGGCTGTCCCTACGTGAGCAGGGGGTTGGACCAGTTGACATCCAGACGTCCCTTCCAACCTCAACTATTCTGTGATGCTGTGATTCTGTATGTACATGGATAATATGTCACTTCAAATTCTTTGTTACTGTGAAAAGGTATACTGTAACATAACCAATAGGTAAATCTTTTGTCTCTGAATGAGATAATTGTAAATTTCACTATAGGTTAAAAAATAGTGAGGGTGATACTAGTTCTGTTTTTTTTCAGGACAACCAAGAAATTTTTGTTTTCCTGGGGAGTTCTTGTTTTACAGACAACATAATCGTAAACTAGACTAAGTGTGCCTTAGTATAAGAGGAATGAAATTCCATTCTTGCTTACATAAAAGATCGGTTTAATCCATAGTGTACATAAAAAGTGAAAAAAAATAAGTCTATTAGCAAATCTAAATTAACCATGATATTTCTGATGTGGTTCAGCCAAAGCTGTGATTTTTAAATCTGACAACTATAATTTTCACTGATAAGTTAAAATCATAGTAGACAGAAAATGCTGAATGTTTTATCTATGGTATAGTTCTGCTTAAATTCTGACCTTTTAAACAAGTGGTTCAATTTCTAGTCAATGCCATTTTAACAATTCAGTCTTTCCTCCTACATCCCTACATCCTTTTAATAACTGGAAGCAGCAAGGCTGAATACTAAGATATGAAGTTAACACAGTAATCAGAATTTATTTACATTCTTTCTGATATTATATTTGTTTTATAATTCTGACTCAGTTTCTGAGTCCATCTTTCTCTGTGAAGTCTCATAAGTTAAGCAAAGACAGGGCACGTCAGTTCTGAGTATGTCAGTATTTTCAAGGAACACCAAGGTGCTGCAGAGACAGTCCTATGACTCAGAAATATGCTTTCCTTGCCAGTAGCACTAAAACAAATTTTTAGCTCACCATTGTGGAAGGGACAGAAGACTGTCAGGCTAGTAATATCTTATATCACATGTAATTAAAAAGGAGAGATAAGTGTATCTGTTTTAATAACCAGAAATGTTAATTTCAAACCTTTTGTTGAAATAAAGTCATGCAATTACATTGTCAGAATTATTTTCAGAGATATAGTTAATCTTTTCTCTTTGTTTTGTTTTCCCATTTTTGCCCATTTCAAACTGTTATGTAGTATAACTGTGCACTGATAAAAAGTTTCTATGACCAGTCTTGTGACTCAGTGTGTTATTGCAAATGTATTACAACATCATAAGCAATATGACCTTTAGTGTCATTTGAAACAACACACTTAAGTGTCATCACAAAATGCACTGAGGCTCCTGTGTTAACGTTTGTGAATTGTTTTGAAATTAGCAGTTCAAAAAGTTTTGTGAGAATAAAATACAGTTATTGTAATAAATACGCTGCAGAACAGTCATCCATCTACTACTTGGAACTTTTTATCTGCTACCTCCCTTTACAAAGTAAGGGGTATCTAGAGAATTCTCTGAGACATAGATTTCAACCTCCCCCCATAAGACTCATATCAGAGAGAGTATTCTTGGAGATGTCTGTTTGTCCATTTCTACTGAAATAGTCCTTAAGGTTATTAAGAGCCAAGAAACTATTAATCCTAATTGATTATCTTAGAATAAAACATGACTGTGCAAGACCTACATTATACAGCACATCAGTAATTCTAGCACATTATTCTTATTGTCACTGCCCATACTCAATAACAAATAATCATTTGCTAATCTTTGTATAAATGAACTTTTAACATGAGTTGCATGGTCTAAAGCAAAAAGCGCTGGAGTGGAATTCAGAGGCATGACTCAACTTCCTACTGTGACGCAGATTTCTCATGTGGTAGCAAAGAGTCACGAACTGCTGGTTTATCAAGGGAATGAATGCATTACAGCTTTCAGTTTTTATGCAGAGCTGCACAGCAGAATTTTAACATCCAAATGAGGTACGTCTGCTCCTGTCCTAATACCTAGGGAAATGTAAGCACTTAACACCCACCAGAATTTAGATGCCGCAATCTGGAATGGAGGAATCTACTTCCCGAACTGGGGGATTTCCACTCACAGAATTAAGTACCTTAAGGCTTTTTCCTTACAGAAACAGAGGTGAATTCAGATGAATTTTCATTATGAGATGATCAGAGGAGGAATCACAATTCCAGCTTTAATGTGTGAGAAATTTGTTTTCATTTTTTTCAGTTTTCACTCCTTTGCCAGTGGTAACTGAAACTTCATTCTACATGTCAAAGAAGAGTGCTTACTCAGGAGATTTTACAATAATCTGGGTTTAGAGTGTGCACTTTGCTAATACTTCATGCAAAAGACAACATTTACATGTTCTCTGCTATCTTGTCAAGACTGCATTCTGTTCCTCTCTAAAACAAATGTGTCTTTTATATGAAATGCTAATATTGGGACTGGAATCAGAGTTTCCAGAGTCTATCCAGAGAGTCTGTCTGTAACTCTATCCTCAGAGTGACACAATTCCTTCCCTCTTCCCTTAGCATATATTATTGTCCATAAAACAAAAACAGATCAAGAAAAGAGACCAAAAACCATCCTGATAACTTCTTTATAGTCAAAAGAAGTTCCCAGAAGATGGGAGATACATATTCTAACTTCTATTGACAAATCATAAAATAGTGTGTGAGTGCTATGCTTGTACAGATCGCAAATTGGAAGACTTTAAAAATACCTGCTACATTGAAACCAGAAGATAAGATATTATAGATGTAATAATTATGTTATGGATTTAATACAAAATAGTTACCAGGGTGCCCAAATAAATGCTTCCTAGAAGAATATCTGAAATTTGATGAAGATTAATGTTTACAGTATAATTCTATACAAGTCTACTTTGACTTCAGAGTTAGGCACAAAATTAGAGGCAGATTTTGAGGGTCCGTTTTTGAGGGTCACCACTGGGTGACTTGAAGGAGAAGCCAAATTTCTGACAGCTTTTAGCTGTAGCTCTTAGCTTTACCTTTATTCTGAATGCCTATTTCTTGTTTACCAAACATGGGTACGATTTTCTCATGGAGACATTATGAGGATGACAATTTTATCATAAATCGAACTTAGTTTAAAACACAGGCCTAACTTCTTTCTCAGGAGTATTTCCTCTTAGACATTACACTGCTTCACAAGGATACAAAGTGTACTTAAAGTGTGGCACTGCTGATCCCTGCAAATAACAAAAAGGCATTAGATTCTGCAATCTCTTTTTATGTAATCAGTGTACATCAAAATTTTCTTGGAAAGGTGATTCAGGTGAATAACCAGGAGACTAATTCGGTAGGTCTAGTCATCTGGTTAAAGTTATATTCTAGAGTGTCCTAAACTGTATAGTGCTAAAGATGTCTTCAGGAGGTATTTAACCCCTGGGCATTTGATTCTCTACTGTGGATATATTTATTTAGTTTTATTATTGTCATCAAAGATATCTCAGGAGTACCTCTCCTTTCCCTGTCCTGAGCTGACACGACTAGAAGCAGGACTTCATACCAACCACTAATAAGAAGTGATGTCTTTGAAAGAACTGTCTCAACTTATTGAAGAACTTCAATGAAAGTCTTTAAAGACACATCACAGTTTATTTTAGGAAAAAAAATATCCAACAACCAACAACTATTCTTTATCGTCTTTTTCCTACCAGCTTGTTTTTATTTTCTCACTTTACTCTTTTATGCCTCATTTCTGTCCTTTTTCACAGATTCAAGGAATGGTTGAAGTTGGAAGAGACCCCTGGGGGGGACCTAGTCCAACCCAGAAACCTAAAGCAGCTGCCCAAGACCACGTCCAGGTGGCTTTTGAAGATCTCCAGGGAGGGAGACTCCACAACCACTCTGGGCAAACTGTGCCAGTACTATGTCACTCACACAGTAAAGAAGTGCTTCCTGAGGTTCAGATGACACCTCCCGTGTTTGAGTGTGTGGCTATTGCCTTTGTCCTGGCGCTGGACACCACTAAAAAGAGAGTAGTTCCATCCTCTTTGCACCCTCTCTTTAGGTATTTAGGTATTTATAAACATTATTGAGATCTCCCCTGAGACTTCTCTTCTCTAGGCTAAACAGTCTCAGCTCTCTCAACCTTTCTTCATAGGTGACACACTCCAGATTCTTCATCATCTTTGTGACTCTCCATGTCCATCAATACGGACTATGCTGCTATCAACGTCTAGTGATTAAGACCATGCAGAAGATCCATGCAGACTTTCATATCTGGTTTCTTCATATTAAAGTGGGTTTCTTGATTTCTTAGCTTCTTTATAATCTTTTGCTCATCAAAGTAATACTAAAGTGTCTGATCTCATAAGATCTGAATACTTGAAAGAAATATCTGACTTCCTCTGCCACTTTTTTAAAGGATTTTGGTAGAATTCAGATAATTTCTTAAGAAGGAATTTCAGATAATTTCCTCTCAAAATAAGAAGTATGTAGGCAGCTCTACAGTATGCTAAAAGCCAGTGTCCAGTGTTGCTCCAGACTTTTCTGATGTAGTGTAAGGCTAATAACTATGACTGTGTTATCACTAAAACACACACGTCTTGATACTTCCAGCTTTTTAAATCTCAGAATCAACATTTTTACATAAAAGCATGAAGTAGTAATTCACAAAATATGAAGAAGTAATTCACAAAGTATGGAATAGGGAAACTGTAGTTGTTTCTAAATGTAAAATTCTTGTTATTATTGCAAATCAGTTACTTTTGCTATATTGCTTTTGATACAGAAAGTACTGAAATGTAAGGTTAGACGTCCTCTAATATCAGTGCTCACTTAAAAGTCTTTATTTAAATATTCAATAAATAGAGTTTTCACCCAATATATGCTTCTTTCTTTACATCTTAAGATGGCTGAAATTCTCTCCCTGTTTACAAGTGGGGAAACAGAGTCATAGGCAGATGAAATGTCTTGCCCATCATGTGTGAATGGACTCTGTAGATCCTCATTTTCATTACGAAAAGCACAAATTATTCAACCTTAAACAATTTATTTCTCTCCTAAGAGAACAAAATGTTCTCAGCAAAGATAGCAAATAAATTTCCCATAGGCAAAGAAAATTATGTATAGCTACTTTCAGGATCTTCTTCTATTGCTGGGTGTGTTTTTTGTTGTTGTTTTTGATGTATTTATTTATTTTTCTTTCCCATACTTTCTGCATGTTATTCATCTATTTTGTGGCTGATGGCAACATTTCCATACAGACCTTTCCACAGAAAACATGGTGGCTGTGAGTGGATTTCTGCATGAGAAATCCAGTACCCACCACTTAAAAGAAAATGAGCATATCACCTGAGCAACATGCAAGCTTAGAGACCCACTGCAGAAAGGTCATCCAAAATCTGCTGTTTACTGTTACTGTTGGATCAACACTCTTCTGCCTTTGATTTTTATCCCTAGTACTCCTGGCACATGAAGAGACTTGCTGCCACTGAAATTGCTATTCCCAATCCATATGGTGGTAGGAGGAATTGAGCAGTGGTTCTTTTATGTAGTAAGCTTTAGATAATGGTCACTAGCATGCAGAGCAACATGCCAATTGCTGGTGTTACGTCTGGTTGACGTTTCAGACCCAACTTTGTACCTTTCTAATCATTAATCAACAATCAGACAAAGAATATATTGCTGAATCCAGACAGCAGCCAATACAGAACTCTAATACATTATAGATTCTCTGTCAGCACATTTATTTATTGTTTGCAGTGTTCTGTTTAAAAATCCCTATGCTCTTTCATTTTATTATTTATTTATGTGTTTATTTATTTATTTCTCTTTAGCTGGATTTAACAAAGCAGTGAATCTCCATTTATTAACATCTCCTACAAATGCTGAATGGTGAATTATGTTGTATAAAATACAATTATAGTATTATTCTTGGTATTTACTACTACTTACTAAAATCTTTAGCAAATATACCATTAAATGAAAGAATTAAATTGCCTAGGTAGAGCCAGAGTACTTTTTTGTCCTCAGGTAAATATCCAGTAGATCATTTTATTGTTATTTAACATTATATTAAAGGTTGGTGATCAGCATTGAGAGAAATGAATATGCATTTTTCTATACTTCCAACATTCAGTATGAATTTTCACAGTATCAAAAAAAGAAGGAACCATAAGGACTGTTTTGTGGTTAGGCTTTAACACAAATGCATCAGTGGACCTCTGGTTCTGCACAGCATGCAGCCATGCTCTGCTATCAAATTAATGTTAAAATATGTATGTTCTGGCTTCTGATTTATAATATCATTGACAAATAGTAAAAAGGACAGGCGTGCCATAAAGTTTATGGATGGAGCGATGGCATGCACAATGATGCCTCATAAAGAATAAAGGGGGAAAAGTTATTTATTCTTGTGGATTCAAGAACTAAAATACAGATAGACTGTCTGCGTGCACAGAATTTTTCATAAATATCCCACAGTGCACCCTGTTGTACAGCAGCCATACATTAATTAGAGCATTCAGCAGACACTGCAATGTGTTACACTCACCCAAGTGAATCTTCATTTTTCACATGCAGGGCCTTACTAATTAAAATCAGCTTTGCAATTAAATGTGGAAAATTGTGTTAAACTTTCAAGCGTGGTTTAGAAAAAATGTACTTATTTTTAGGGTATTTTATTTTGATGCAAATGAATTTTCCATCAAAGTGAGACCAGTAAAAGGGAGGTATGAGGATTTCTCTTTTTTGTATTATAGATGCTCCTCTCAGTTGCAAGTTGCAATGCTCCACTATCTCTCTGCCAGTACCTGGCCCTGTTCCAATGCTTTTAGTGAGTGCTATCTGTCAAGGCATGAATAATACAGCCCCTAGGCTGTCGGCAGAATCCAAATGAGGCATACATCAGGAAGCAAGCACTCGACTTTAGCTCCAGAACATGCTCCTGTGAAGACAGGCAATTATTCACCCACGGCTGCAGCCATGGCAATCAAACTGGTGGGTGAAAAGGTATATGAAATGAAAAAATTTGAATAAGAAACATGGCACAACAAGCCAGAGAAATTCAATAATTTTCTAATAAGAGAGAGACATTTGAGTCTTTTAATTTTGAAGTTTGGGAGTCTGAATTATTTTGCTCACTCTATTCTAAAATATACATGTAGATGACTTAACTGCAGTATATAATGTAAAGGCAATACAAGGGTGTGTGGAGCTTTTCCTGATCAGAAGAACAATGCTAAATTCTATGATGTTTATAAATTTAAGTAAATCAAGTGTATCAAGTGGCAAATCTCATGCTTAAAAATTAAAAGATGATCAAAATTCTATCTGTATAATGCGATAGGTAACAACAGACAGCTTCGTAAATCAACAAAAAAGGCTGTAAAAAACGGTGGTAAATTAAAATATAATAAATTTTATAAGGCTAGGGACAACTCATACATTATAGATCCAAACATTATTTTAAGATCCCTCCTCACTTTTGAGGATTGCATATTTTTGCCAGACATTGTATCAGTAATTAATGAAACAAACAAACAAAAATATTTATGCAATATGAATGGGAGAAAAGTTATGCAAAATTCCTTGGCAGATGAAGTCTTTAAGATGCTTTATTTTACCTGAATTATTGTTTTCAGGAAACAAATTCATAATATATTGAGAGCTCTATACGTATTTGTATTTTAAATTAGAAAGACTTATCATTTGGCCTTAAAAATTCGTTCTTCACTTAAATTTGATGCATATTGTTTAAGAATAAAATTATGTTTAGATTGAATTTCTATTCAATATTTGTACCAAGCTACAAGCTTAAAGTTCCTTTTGGAACTCTTATTTGTTAAAATTTGTTTTATTCTGAAGCATGTCATATTTAGCAAGTGATTAATCCATTAAAGAATCTAATTGCTTTTGTTATTTGAGAAAAAAAAAAAAAGACAATGTTAAGATGCTTTTAAAATAGGCCACTGCATGTAATAAGTATTTATTTTCATAGAATTTGGTTAAAATTTTTATGAGGCATCTAAATACCTATTTACTTGACAAACCTTAGACAACCTTAGAGAGGATGGTTTTTATTTGTTTGTTTGTTTGCTTTTTGTGTGTGTGTGTTTTCTTTTTTTTTTGTTTGTTTGTTTGTTGTAAATAATAAATGCATAGCAGCACAGTAGAGAGTAATACTTCCAAAGCTGTCATTCACATTTACTTGGCAAATAATACAGGCCATAGTTTATGCTCAGTTAATTTAGAGTAGCTATGGAATTTTCACCTGTGTATCTTAGAGATACTTTTGTAAATCCACTACTGTGACCAGAAGTTGGACTTTTGCATTTATAGTTGTATACATAAAATATGAATCCTTTTGTCTTTAAAGTTTACTAATGAAACTGGCTAACGTCTGACTAATCACAAGGAAAGAACATTCAAATATTTATATTTTTCTTCAGAGAGTTAGCTGATAGATGTCCCGAAAACATGGTTCTGAGAGCACTGTCCTAGTGTGCCTTGGCTAACTGCAATATAACCAGAGAGGTTGTTCGCAACTAACTGTTCAAGGATCTGGATCATGTTTATTCTTCAAAAATACACAGTTTTGCATGTGTAAGAGTACTGTTCATTATTATGCTACGCTCCACAATGGGCCTGAAAAGCTATTAAGTGAATGAAATAAGCAGTGTCAGGAGTATGGTCCAGTAAGAGCCTCTGCTTTTCACTCAAAACATATGAAATCTTTTCATGTCTTCACATTTTTCTATGTGTCACTCCTCCCACCCCCATATCTTTTACTTTTTTTTTTTTTTTTTTTTTTTTTTTTTTTTTTTTTTTCCCAGCAAAGGTATATAAATTTCTTTAACTCCATGAACTGTGGGTATTCTAGTTGACCTTGGTGACTACAAACACATACATCAGGTACTGAAATCTTACTATACAATCTTTAACATTTAGGCATCATAGCTGCTGCTAGAGGATCCATGATCACTTCAAGTTTCTAGCTATTACTGAAATACAAATAATAATAATAATAATAATAAAGATATGACACTGCTCTTATACTACCTAACTTTGGGCACTTAGACTGGAATGCTAATCTTTTTGAACTTTTTATGCAGTCACTGGAGAAACATGCTCCCTCAAAGTTAATTTTAGAGATCCTACCATTCTGTCTTAAACTGCCCTGCAGAGCTCCCTGTCCATCTTAGCTGACTTGTTAACATGCCCATCTAGCAAGCTAAAATAAGCCCTGTACTTTAGAGCTGACAGGAAAGTATTCACTGTCATGCAAAGTTTCATTTTACAGCAAAGTTTGGTACAAAGAAAAATTCAAATAGGTGGAAACGATGCAACAAGTCGTTACCAGTATTTTCTTATCCTAATACCTGTCTTTGATACACCTCAATGGCTTATAAATTCTGCTTGTTTCCCTGGTTAAGCGTAGCATTGCAGGATTATGGTTTAGATTTGTGAACCTTAATAACAACCTTTTATAATTAAATAGGGTACAAAACATATGATAAAACTCTCCTTTAACTTCTACCTAATATTTTGTCACCAGAACATCTCGTCTCCTGAATCTGTCTGAAAATTTGAAAGGATCTGTATATTTCATTTCAAATTTAATGTAGTATCTGAACACCATTTTCACAGTCACATTGGTATTATAAAGATAAAACTATATTGACAAAAATAAAATAAAATAAAATAAAATAAAATAAAATAAAATAAAATAAAATAAAAACAACAAATCTACAGCAAAACCAGAAATTCCAGAGACTTCAAGATGTTATAAAAATAAATAAATAAAATAATGCTACAGAACTCCGAATGCATCTAGTGGAAGCAAACACATTTCATTTCTTATAATGAGCTAGTCTGATATTGTGAATGGAAAGGTCTTAACCTCATTAAAATGCTCTGTAGGCCTAAACAGAATTGAGTTAGGCATCACAATTCCCTCAGCACATGAAATTTTTAAGACAGTCTGATTTCCTCGGAAGAAATGTTGGAGGGTCTTTCCCAGCCAAAAAGCAAATTAGAAAGAAGAAAAACATAACAAATTATTTCAAAAACTTAAAATTATTAGGTGTTGATTGGACAAGATTAAACAAATTTATATATTGCTATTTCAGAAAACAAGTATGCTGTAAGCTTCAACAATGAATTTTGTTTTACACTAAGTAAGACATATATTAGTTAAATATATTTTGGTTCATAGATTGATAATCAGCATGGCAAGAAAACAATTTAAAAACCATACAAATTCCGTAGTCATTAGAAAAAATGAATTTTTGATGTATTTCCAATTTTTATTCTTTGTGCATCCGCCCCAAAATTTCATTTAATTAACAGCTCTGAGATTCAGTCTGTTCCTGTAGTGACATACCAGAAGGTCAAGAAAGCAAATACAGAATTGATGTCTCCAAACTGCATGTAATCTTTCTAAACCTTACAACTATTTGTTCCCCCTACCTCAAAAGAGTGATGTTACACAAACACATAGACATAGGTGTAAGTTAGCATAACTCATAAGATTTATTTATTTATTTATTTTTAAGCTAAAGAGTTTCCTTCTGTTTGGTTTCAAAATTATTGTTTCTGAAAACTGCGTGTTAGCTGCATGTAGATAACAACCTTGTAAGTAGAAAGGGCATTATAATCATGTCACTTAACTTTGAGTGCTCAGGAAATTTGTGAAGAAGGATTTGGTGCTATTCATTAATTACTGATGAAGCTTGTATTTACATGGAGAAAATGGACAAAAGTAAACATGGTTTGAGATGTCAATAGCGGTTTTAAGAAGAATCATTTTGGCTGTTTCTAAATCAGCGCTTCAATTTAACCAAATCCTTAAAATAACCACAAAAACATTACCATTTTTATGAGGGAAAAGGATTAGAAAAAAATATCTGAATATAAATATTTAATGTTTCATATTTTTAAAATGTAATTCAAAAGAATTTTAATATCAGGTACAACACTTGTTTTAATTTTGCGTTGTCTTGACTTGACCCTAAGCTTCATTTTCTGTTAAAAAATGATACATCCAACACTGAGTGGACAAATATGTCACTGTTTTATATTTTGCATCTTTC